ATGTAAAAAATTGATTTAACAAATTATAGGATTTCCCGTCCTTTTCACGAATTTTAATTTCCCAATTCTCAACGCAAAAGAAGAAACTGAAAGAAAGAAAGTAAAAAGAAAGAAAAAGAAAAAAAAATTCTAAGATTTTCTAAATAAAGAATATTATATTTGGACCATTCTTGATCTAATTTTCGTTTCTTCTTTCTATTTTTCAGACAGCTCATCGGGTCAATGTGAGTGGGACCGTGGATTTATCAGTAAGTGTGATCCACCTTGCTTCAGTCAGGAGATATGACTCTACATGGTGGAGCTTGTTCTTTGGCTTTAGGCAAACAGCTGCTTCCACTGACATCACAATACTGATGCACTCTTAAAGAATCTGTTTAGTCTGGTGTTTATACAAGGACGGCACTTTAACAATCACTTTGTTAAATACAGCTTTTTTTTGTTACAAACATGAGATGCTGCAACTGAACTCGCACTACTGTCTTCCTGCAGTCTACTTGGGTCTAGTTAACAGCCAGACAAGTTGCACTCCTGTTGCTCAGGTGAACTGGATTTAACACTGCAGTACTATGACTCTAATGAACCACAACATTGTTATAATGAACTGCAAACCAACCAATGGTTTCTGTGGGGCAGCTAGTATCTGAAACCACCTCTGCTCCCCTGGCTGCTGCTTTTAGAGGGTATTCATATCCAACTAGTCTCCAGTCTGTCTGCACTTCATTAAAACTTTTTATTCTAACTGGACCATCCAGCCTAACGTTATTACACCTGGGGAGAGTAAACGTGTAGAGGCTATTAGGTTAAGGGTTTGATTAAAAGCGCATCGTAACCGTTTTCATCAGGGAGCGGGATTATTGCTGCACAGTCTGCATCCAGGTCAGGTGGTGCTGAGCCACCAAATTAAAAACAGCCATGCGTGGACAGAACAACCACCTCCACATAGTTTTGCACAGATTTATTTTGTTTACATATGTACATGTGTGAACACGCTTGTACCGCTGTGTATTTTGCAGGGAAAGAGGAAAGCTCACCAATTTCTCAAATGAACAAATGAAACATCAAATTAGTCCGCCTGAGGGCCTCATTTTTTGTACTCCTACATTATAACTAGTTATTGAACTAGGTGCACGATCTGAAAGCCATTTGTGGGGAGAAAGAATTCATTCATGCTGTCTCTCCATCAATAATCCTTGGCAGTGAACTATTGGAACCAGTCAAACGCGAGGGGTGAAACGCGGGTCAGGCTGTCTAACTAATATTAAAATGCGTCCGCCAGAGCGCACGGAGCGAGAGGGAGTATGTGGTGTGCGTGCAGCTCTTTCACCCTGGTTGGGTGCACAACAAACATCGTGTGTTCAGATGAGCACGAGACAAACCCAAATGAACGTGAGTTAGATTTTTTTTTAGCAGCATTCCCTCGTCGGTTCGCTCCTGGTTGGTTTAGGAAGCTTTTGTTCTTCAATAATAATAATTAAAAAAAAAAAATCTATCCAGCTGATACACAGAGTGCACGCGGAGAAATATGGAGATTGAGATGTTCTTTGACAGAGTTTGAAGTCCCCTGTGCATTTCCACTGTAATCAATTCCATTGATTCACAATCTGAGCATGTTTGCTGTTTTTAATAACCCCGGAACAGGTCACATGTCTGATATTGCATTTGTCATCCGAGGCTTTTCTCATTAGCTTCCAGAGTGGCAGGAAGAAAGGTTACCGAGCGGTCAGTATGGTAATAGCAAGCAGAAGAAATGGTTGGGAACAATAGAAACTTATTTTTCATCTGTGCTGTCACGCCGTCCCTTTGTATCCGCCGTGTTTGTGAGCGAATATTCATATAGGAGCCACCTCAAAGGCTGAGATTGAATGTTGAGAAAAGACACCCTCTTGTCCTCTGCACACGACGTTTTGTGTGTCTGTCTCCCTGTGTGTGTGTGTGTGTGTGTGTGTGTGTGTGCGTGTGTGTTTGTGTGCGTGTGTGTGCAGGCATATTTGTGTATGCAAGGATATTTTCGTCAGGGGAAAAAGAAGTTAAAGGAGTATTTTCTCTCGTTTGTAAACGTATTCTGAGCAGATCAGAAGTGATGTGTGTTTGAGTAACCCTGACGAACAGCATCCGCTTTGGCGCACGTTTTGCGCAATATTTCCTCTCTATTGCAGCCTTTCATATTTTGTTATGACACTGCTCTGAAATGCATGCCAGTCCAGATACAGACACGATGACCTGCCTGCACAGAGGTTTGCCTGAGAGATCACCGCTGCGGTTTCTAACCTAAAACACATTAGTTGTCTATATGTACCCTGTAGAACCGAATTTGTGTCACGTACAAACAATCGCAAATACGTCTCTACAGGAATACATGGGCAACTGAAATACCACGCCAACCAATGGATTCTCCTGCTCCTCTGCACGTCTCTCTGGCCCCCCACACCACCACCACCACCACCACCACCACCCCCCGACTCCCCTGCTATTGAACACACCAGCATCAGTGCTATGCTCATACAGCCCACACCCAGACACTAGCGATGCAATAACATTGTCACAAATTGTATTCATAGTCCAGACAGCCATAGATTGAGTCGCTAGGCCACAGAGAGTAAACCCATGTGTGCAGTCTGCGGCTTCTACTGTGTCAGACCCTGTAAAACACGTTAGGAACCAGGGGTCGTTTAAAAGTGACTGATTTACGGCTTTTATTGCTCTATAAAACGCCTCTAACATCCTCGCTAGAGGTAATAGAAATGTCGTGCGCATTCTGCACAAACAGAACAGCCAGAAATATGTCACCTCTCGTCGTTTTTTAACCATATTATGTAATTATCGCTGTGAAAATAGATACACCCGTTTACAATGTGGCAATGTGCTGCCGTTTGCACTTTATCATTATCACTATTGTTATTATTATTACTATTATTATTATTTCTACTTTCTATGCATGTTGATCACCACACAACTGAAGACGTGTCTGTGAAAGAAAACAAAGTATTCTGTGGATGGTTTTTCTGGGAGGCTGCTGAACTATTAGGGAGTGAACCTCGGTCTGTGTGACCACAGTTGACCCTGAGATAAGAATGAGGAGCCTACAGCTCATGACAAGTTTATACAACCAAGCAGTATCAGTTTACAATATCACAGCATACCTCCAGTAATGGGGCTGATGGTCAGAGCCTCAGCCAGGATTACAGCTGCAGCGGCAGCTGGGCTGATGTTTTTTTTTTAATAAGTGGGACTGTAGTTTAAAGCATACACACACAAGATCTTGTAAACACAACTGTAAACAAATCAGTTCTTTTAATTGCTCGACATATCTGTTGGATTATCGAGACTTGTCCTCTCAGCATTTCCCTTCTTTAGATTTGGATTGTAGCTGCAGCTCTTTCAAGATGCTCTTCTCATCTGCTGGTCACAGAGCAGCTACAGTCCACACACACAGCTTCACCTTATTTAATTATTCCTACTCCTGCGCTTTTATTTTGGGCTTGAACAAACACAACAAGTCTTGCAAGAAAAAGTAAAGGACTTTTGAATGAGGAGATGAAAAGAATACAGACTTCAAATGGGTGAAAGAATTTAAACACTGGTTTGATTTATTTATTTAGTTGTTTTTTTTAACTAAGGCTGCTGCAACAGCCACATTTAACCTCACTTGATTGTTACAGTCTTAGTCCACTGCAGCTCATGATGTTGTGCTGCTCTCAGGTCTGTAACACCATGATGGGCTGCTCTGCACAGTTGTCAGATTAGTGACACCACAGTGGCACTGGTTAGTGTTCAGTGTTGGCTGGATGTCACATTGGTAGCATGGTGTTGGTCTGGTCTGTTTGCCGTCCCCCGGTTGTTTAGTCTGGGACATCAGTTGTTGTGTTTCACCACCTGACATTTCTCTGCTGGTTCTCCTCTGTTTTGTTGGTGACATCACGATGCTCATAATGCTACTGACCTGTACATATGGAAGGCTGTTGATGTGTAATAGTTGTATCTCTCAGAATTAGAAGTTGTCATTATTAAAAGCATGTGTTACACTCACTGCATTTTCACTTCTTTACATTGTACCACCATGATGTTTCTTTATTCTGCTCATTCTGTTTATACTTTATACTTTACACCTTTGCTTTTTCTTTTGCTGCTGTGACATTCAAAACTACTTTACAAAGTATATGCATATCAGATTAAGAGTCCTTAAATCATTTACAGTTATCCTTATCAATAGTCAATTAAAATGTGAAGGTGTGTTGAGAGAACAGACTGGAACAACCAGACAAATGTCTCATCAGTGAACGAAGGCTTTTGTTTAGGCAGTCTGACTCTTCCTGTCCACCTTTCTCCAGCATTATAAATTATCAGGCCTATTTTCAGAAATCAACCACACCTCCAGAGCATCTCAGCAGCCCGCTCCTCTCTGGCATTTAGAGTCACAATAAACCTATTAAATATTAGTGCTGAAGTGGTTGTTAGGAATATCATCTCACAGAAGTGATGCAGCCGTAATTCTTTAAGTGTATTAATGGAGCATAATCTGTGTCACAGCTGAAGTGCTGTTGGTAAAGTCTGTGCTTTCATTAATTAGCAGATAACCTTTATATAAGGCGTGCAGGCGAACAAAATGATGGGTTTGCTATTGTTGTACCTTATCCTTGGCGAATCACCTATTGTCCCTTTGAATAATTGAGACCAGCGGATTTTGCCTGTTTTATTTTTTCCTTGGTCAGCAACTAGCTACTAGTTTTGTCCCCAAGATCAATTGCCTTGGTAACACAACTAGAGAGAGAGAGGGAGAGGGAGAGAGAGAATGGGAGAGAGAGGAAAAGAGAGAGAGAGAGAGATTTGTGCCCACAATGGCGACTGTAGGTATGCTAAATACCTCTGGTTCCTTATCCGGGAACTACCTCTTACTCTGCTATTGGGCCATTGGGTCACGTGGTAAAAGTAACTTTACAGGGCTGCTCGCAAGTAGGAGGGCTTTATGGAGCAGAAAAACGACAAAGCTAGAAAAATTATTTTCCACTCCAGAAATTAATGATCATGAGCTCGTATTTGATGGAGTCTAACTACATTGATCCGAAATTTCCTCCATGCGAGGAATATTCGCAAAATAACTACATCCCCGAGCATAGTCCAGAATATTACAGCCGCGCAAGGGACACTGGCTACCAGCATCACCACCAGGAGTTATATCCTCCGCGGGCGAGCTACCAAGAGCGCCAGTATAACTGTGCAAGCATCCCTGAACCTGACACGCCAAGGGGACATGGAATACCCCATTCTGCGCACCTGCTGACAGGGAAAGGGCAGCCTGCTTCATGTGAAACCCCACAGTTGTCTATGTCCCCCGCCACCCCACCGGCCGCAACCTCCGCCTGCAACCAAGCTACCCCGGAGCATCCAAACAGCACAGCCTCCTCCAAGCAGCCCGTGGTGTACCCATGGATGAAGAAAATTCACGTCAGCACTGGTAGGCAACTTGTGTGTTTATGTTCCCTGCACTCTCCGTGCTCCTCTCTCCCTTTCCCTCCCTTTATCAGTCCCTCTGACTCCCATCTCGTTGCCAGCCCCTGTTTCGATAGCAGGGAAGCCTTTGAAATGGCACAATTGAGGCGGATTTACGACTCGGCATTGGTAATTACACCCACCATAAATTTTATAGCCGAGGTATACTCAGGGCAGCCGTATCACCATGTGGCTTCTGCTGTTATGTATTGCGCGATAGAGAAAGGGGGAGAAATGAATAAGAAAAAAAATTGAGCTTTGTAATCTTGCATTAATAATTTAGTTCATAGTTGGATGTGAGTGTCCTCTCATTACGCTGAGAACTTCTTAACTTCCCATTTAAATTTCTCAAACAGCTAAACATTCATATCCAATAAATCTTTCTCGCCATATCTCAGTTGAGGCCATTCTTGTTTACCCCTCCTTTCCTCCCTTCTCTGTCTCCCTTTCTCTCCACTTCTCCTTTTTCCAGTGAACTCGGGTTACAATGGGACGGAGCCCAAGCGGTCTAGGACAGCATACACCCGGCAGCAAGTCTTAGAATTGGAGAAGGAATTCCACTATAACCGATATTTAACTCGGCGGAGGCGCATCGAGATCGCCCACACCCTGGTTCTCTCCGAGCGACAGATTAAAATCTGGTTTCAAAACCGCAGGATGAAATGGAAAAAGGATCACAGGCTCCCGAACACCAAAGTGAGATCCTCCTCCTCCTCCGGGTCCAACACAAGCTCAGCAGCCGGCGCTGTTGCCGCTGCCTCGGCCACTAACACTGGGGCCCCCGACGAACTCACCGGAGCACAGCATGGCGAGGATATTACCAGGTTATAAAACCACCAGCCACGGTTGTGGGTAGAAAAAGAACTGGTTATTTATAGAACAATTATATATTTTGTTTTCGTAGCTATCTTGTGCGGTTTCCTTTAAGTCCAAAGTTATATAAAATGCATGTTATATAGCATGGATTACTGCGAATACCGATGAATTATTTTTAATTGACACAGGGTTTAATTTATTTGAAGCTCAATTAAAATGATGTTTTTTATTAAAATGTTTTGAATGAAGGAAAAAAAAAAGTAGAAAAAATATACATTTTATCAAAATGTTATTGTGGGCCATTCTTTTGCCCTGCTGCCCAAGGTGAAATGCACAATCTATTTATTTCAAGCAACACTGGAAGGAAATCAATATAATAATAGTTATTTTTGGTATAAAAAAGCTGGAACACACCATTGATCTTGAACTTGTATGTTTAGGATAATAACAATGTGTGAATTACCTCGTGTATTTCAGAAACAGGATTTTGATTTACAATTTAGTTTTGTGGTGTTGATGTTGTGTTTAGACCGTTAAAAAGCAGATTATTGTGAAATGCAATAAACGGAGTTTAGTGTTCTTGTGCTAATCATATTGGTCAATAAAACAGTGAGTGTCTACTAGTTTTATATACGTTTGGTCGAACTTCATTTTTAGGCAAGACGAGGTCTAACTGTTGTTTGGGCTCTTTGGAGGAATCTCCTTAAAAGTGTACAGATGTTGGATATTTGAACATTTCATGAAGGAAACAAGAATCACTGTGTTTTCAAACTGTTTATCAAACCTGCAGCTGATTTTTTGCGTCTTTGAATTAGCATCGTGTACAGACAGTGTGTGTGTGTGTGTGTGTGTGTGTGTGTGTGTGTGTGTGTGTGTGTGTGTGTGTGTGTGTGTGTTTTAAAGCTTCACTCATAATGGACTGAAGTTATTTCTAAAATCTGAAAATGAAATAGTTTGCGCTGTGCATTATGTGCAACCTCATCAGTCTGAAGGGCATTCAATTAACGCTAAAGACGAGCCACTGAGGCCCTCCACTCTCCTCTCCTCCACTCCTCTCCTCTCCTCCACTCCTCTCCTCTCCTCTCCTCTCCTCTCCTCTCCTCTCCACACTGCACTGCCTCTGCCACGGCCACAACTGAAGCTCTCTGCTTCCTTCGTCCTCACTTGAACACAAAGCTGCATGCGAGTCATTTAGAGGACCTTTGCAATGTGTTAGAGATGATAGATTGTTGTGAAAATATTCTTATTCATTTTGTAACCTATAGTTGCCCTGCTTTTTCTATAATCCACTGCGCCATGCGACTGAGTTTTCAAATGTAAAAAAAAAATAAAAAATAAAAATAAAAATAAAAATAAAATAAAATAAAGTCGTGAATTGCAGATAGATTCAATATAATGCGTCATGTGGTCTTGGTTAAATCACACAGCCCGGATGGTGATGGAGTAGACCAGCTGACCTTTGTTATCAGGCTCTGGAGCAGTGCCTGCCTGTAAGAAGCGATGCTTATGTTTTCCTCTGTGCTCACTCTTTGGCTTTTGCTTGTATAAACACTTTTGCCACATTTACATGCGGTCTCTCCCCAGTGGGCAGCTTGCCTCCAGAGTGTGCAGCGGCTCGCGAGAATAGCCTGCAAAAAAAAAAAAGAAGAAGAAAAAAAAAAAGAAAAGCTACAATTTCAAAAAACGGCGCTAAACGCATCCTCTGCCACGTCATCTGGCAGGAGGACCAACACACTACAGGGCTGTTCACGACTGCAGACCAGCTGTTTGACCAAATATAATCCAAACAGAACCTCCCAGCTCAAGAGCCTCAAGATTGTTTCTCTCTCTCACAGATGCATTCATTTTTTAAGTGTTTTTGGACAGAGGGATTTCAGTTTAAACACGAGTCAAACCCAAAGACGCGCAAGAATTTGATAGATTATTGAAATAGTGACATGAATAGGCCTTATAAAATGCCTTGCGTAGTGGGGGGCAAAGGAGCACAAAGGGAAGAGGTATTCTCCATCATCAATCTTTCACTACACAGCTTTGTGTTATGTTCTGGAAAACAACTTCAACAGCCAGTTATGATCCAACCAAATATCATGTAGCAGGCCGCGTCCTTTGCCTTCATTCCCCAAAGTGTGAGAGGACTAAACTGGACTTTAAAATGAACCATTTTAACTGGAGCATGGCGGCTGCAGTCTGCTCTCTGGACGGGGCTTTGGAAAGGCACTAGAATAGTGTTGAGACGGCCGCTGAAAAATGAATCCAGAAGCCTTTATGTTGCTGGACAGATTAGAGAAATTAATGTGCTCGCCACAGTCGCAGCATCCCTCCAGTCCCTTTCTCGGCCCTGTCGCCTCCATGTCGCGAGGCTGAAAAGGTACTTTATTGAAGTTTGGGGGCGAAGTGGGAGAAGGCCGAGTTCACCTCGAGGACACATTTTCTGTCCCATTAGGCTCATTTCAGTCTGGATGGCCGACCTCTCCAACCCTGTGACCCGACTCACGCTCTATGCGTGTACCTTCTGTGTGCGCCCTCGCTGGTCCTCCTTGGCCGCGGCTTTCTTTTGTGGATTTTTTTTTTTTTTTTTTTTCTGGGACATCACTGAATGTGTTGCTCCCTTTGTCATCAGAGTGACCCAGGACAGTGCTGAACTCTCGGACAGTCCTCTTCTCTGCAGATCTGCAGGACTTCCAAACATGCGTCTTGTGGTTGGATGTGAAGATATGTGGTGACTCTTACAGGAGTTGATGCAGTGACAGCGGGAGTGCACATGGCTGAAATATTCTGAGTGATTATAGGAGACATGCATGAATGCGATTCTGTGTGTTTTGAGCTTTTTCAAGCCTGTCTGGCGGGAAAGGGAATATTGCACATGTGTTTATTTATTTATTTAGTACTGATGAAACTAAAACACGATTAAAGTTAGAAACAAGATTTAAAACTCTCTCTCAAAAAAAAAAATCCAGGCACTAGTTACATCATTCCCTAAAGTCTCCAAAAACAGGAGGCAGTAAAAATAGTTTGCGCGGTCACATGACTTGCGTGTGACTTCAGAGAATAACTGGTCTCAGGTCAGCACCTCCAGTCAAAAGTAAGCTGCCAATTATAGCTGGCTGTGTCTGACAGTACTGGGACAGCTGGTCATTGTGATTAGTTTATGGACAGGGACCTTCAAGTGTGTTGTCACAAAATCCTTGTAAACTTTCTACACAGACTCCAAAACGTTTATTTTTATCCAGATGCAAATTCCCCTCAGAGGAGACACAATCTAACCTACATAGCTTTTTGTTGTGAAATGAATATTTACAGCAAAACGCTCCAAAAACGTTATGACTATATCAAAAATACAAACTGTGGCTGATGCTGACAGCCCCTCAGCACCATCCTTGTTTTTCTGTTTATTTGTGAAATCTCACTCAGTTCTCGTGCCATCTTGAATTTATTATACTTTTCTCTTTTTTTATGCACCAAGCAACAAGTTGGGCCTTTCCTGTGTGGCCAGGAGCAAATATTCAGCACTGATGGAAAAATATTAAGACAGCACGTCCTCCAAGATAAACAGCTGGCACTGAAAGCCAAACAACTAATCTCAGTGTCTGTCATTTGTATGTGATAATTCATCCTGCTGCTCGTAACCTGTAGAGGTGCAGCTCAGATTTCACTGGGAACAAGCAGGGGACGTCTCTTTTGTTTGAGCTCTTGTAATTGAAGATTTGTGTAAAGTAGAAATAGAGCGCACGAGGCGGAATTGGATTTTCTTTCTTGACTTTTGGTCGACTTCGCTTTGCCAAGGATTTAACTAATACACCCTTATAAGGCCTTGTTGGATTTATTATGGGAATAAACAAAATGTGTGGTTTAAAAATATTATTTCAACAAAAGCTCACGTCGTCTGTCAGCCATAAATCAGTCCAGTCTCGCGTTGTGTTATTAAACTCTGCTCCAATGCGCGCAGACTTCTCCTCTACACAGCGGAAACTTATATAAATATTTACATAGATTTACATAGATATTTATTATCATAATATTTGAGCATGGGAGCGCACATTGTATACTTTATATCTTTTCTGTTCTCATGTGATCTAAGCAAGCAAATAATTCATTCAATCCATAAACGTCAATGTTATACAGCCTTACCTGTCAGAAGATCAACATGAACGAAAAAAAACAAACATATTATGCCTGACTAATAGCTACATTTTCTCTCTTTAAGTTTATGAATGAGAGCAATTCATAAAGTTTAAAATAAACTCATTTGATTTTTAAATTCCGTCCATTCATTTAGCTGTGAGCAGCCCTGTGCTTTAAGCTGGATGTGTAGAATAGTGAGAGGCTACAGTGAGAGGCGGTAGTTAGCATTAACCCCAGCACCATGCAGGAATCTGGCGTATTTTATGTGTTTGAGGCTCAGTGTTTAAATTCCTCAGCACTTACTCAGCTCTAACTGGTTTCTTCTCCGACTTGAGACTGTTGAATCACACATGATTCTCAGCTCACATTGCACCGCTGCAGGCTCCCTGTGATTTATGGAGCACCTCAGGCGAGGACTCTCTCTCTCTCTCTCTCTCTCTCTCTCTCTCTCTCTCTCTCTATCTCCCTCTCTCTCTCCCTCTCTCTCTCTCTCTTGTAAGATACAAAAACTTTACACAAACAGCCATCGAAATGTTTGAACAAAACATAGGAAACAGAAATGATCAGCTGCTCTTGCCGCGGCCTGCTTTATTACCTGCTCTTATTGTCTGTACATCGGCTTGAGTACAAGTGTTTTTCCACTCGTCTCAGGTGAGTGTCTTCTTCAGCCACTTTGGTTTGTAATGAAAGGTCCGGGGCCGGTGTATTGTTATGGTGTAGTGTGTTTAAACGGCAGCCATGGCAGCTGCATAAAGGCTGAGAGTTGAAACAGGGGTCACGCTGCTATTTTCCAGGGACAGAGAGGCTCTCTTGCATTGACCAGCAGTGGGTGTGTCATAAATCCGTAAATCTCTCTCCCATCCGTTCAGTCAAGAGAGCAGATGCACCATGTCTTCTCTCTTTTTTTTTTTTTGTTATTGTGTGTGTGCTCGTGTGTGTGTGTGTGTGTGTGTGTGTGTGTGTGTGTGTGTGCGTGCGTGCGTGCGTGCGTGCGTGCGTGCATGCGCGCGCGCGTGCCAGAGGGAGAGGTAAATGAATTTACATAAAACTAGATTTTAAAACTCCATCAGACATGTTAAAATGATTTACTGCCAGTGCTGGCAAACCTTTGGAGCAGGGGACGACACAGCAGCTTGGAGCAACGCTCTGATCTCCCACTGTAGACTTCAACATCACATCGCACAGGAAATGATGGCCTGGGTAAACTTGCCAGTAATACTTTATGTCATCATAACGCCTCGGTGAGGAATATTTCATTGGCCTATTTGCTGCATCGTTGAGGACCTTCGAAATTACAGTCATTTTCCTCCGTTCAAGGTGTCACCGGGGGCCTAGACAGTCACTGGATTGAGTTATGATTATGTTATTCACTTTTCATTAGCAGAGATGATCTGAATATGGGATGCCGAGACTATAGATCCGCAATTATGCATGGGTTAAGTGAAAATGCGCTTTTCATTTGATTTGTTCTCTGGAAATGATTCTCCCGTGTCTGTGTGCGGCCACCAGTTGCACTTGTATAACAGTCGTCTTGTACTTGGAGCAGCTGCTGCAGCATCAGGGGTTATATTTATACATGTCCTTACATATTGTTACATAAGGCGGATTGGGATGTCAAATATTATCAAAATGTAAAAACAAAAGGGTCACAACACTTCCAAAATGTCAAACAGAGAAGTGTAACTCCTAGAGCCCAAGCCTTTAATACAATTACAGAAATAAATCCAAGATATTTTTCTGACCCTGTTTAACGATTGTTTACACCAGACCCGTATTTTCATTTTTCATCAGTTCAGAAACAAACAAAATTGTTGTCAACACCTATTTTTTACATCCTGCACGTCAGATATCACAGGAGAAAATATCTGTTTTTTTTTTTCATTATTTTATTCAAAGTCTACAGACATCCAGAAAAATATATTCCTCCTGAGAAGAAAGAACAAAAATGTATACCCAGATTTCAGACTTTGAGATGGCACTTCATTGGCTCAGGGCTGCAGGATTTATGCTTGCATGCACTCTCCACAGACAGGCCAGGATTTACAGTGGGCTGTCCTGCACATCAGGCCCAAATTAATACTCTATGTTAATGCACATGCTTATGCAAAAGTCAGGACTTGTTTGGGAAATTGACAATGTGTGTCTTTTCCTCACTTATGAAGTGCAGTCTGCAAACTCTAGTCCTTTCATTTCACTCTGCATTGTTTACAGCAATATAGGGCACCGGGCCCATAAATCTTCTCCTTGCTCTGCCAAGACAGCGCCATTTGTATGCACCGTTTTAACCGACAGCATCCTCTGCCCATTAACGTCTTCTCCCCAGCTCTCTCTCTCAGTCTCCTCTTATCTGCTCAGCTCTGTCCCCTGGAAATACATTAACTGATCCGTGCTTTCGTTGAGCACTGAAAACCAATTATGTTTTTAAGCGAAAGGAATATATAATTCGTAGCAATAAATAAATAAATAAAATAAAATAAAATAAATAAATAAAAATTTGAGAATCGTGTTGCGTTCTCTAGATGTCTCTGCCTGTGCCCAGTTGCAGATTTCTTCCGCTCCCCCAGTAGCGCTTTCTCTGTAACTTATTGGTATGGAAAATAAAAAGTTTATCGACAATTTCCTTGGTTGTTTGTGTCAGCAGGCGAGAGAGCGCAGAAGGTAAGGAGGAATTGTAAAAGGGTTGACACCCAGAGCGACCGGCGCGCTTTTGTGTGAGAGAGAAAAATGATTTATTGCCACTGAGGCGGTTCAAACAGAGTTCACGGAGAATTGTGGTGGAGGCGCGGAGGAGCTAAATTATGGTCTTGCTGAGCCAGTATATCATAGATCCTATCTCCAATTCAGAGAGTGTGTTCAAGGGTGTGAGGTAAGGAAAACAAAACGAATTTAATTACTTTCCCCATTTCAGCCACTAATAATAATAACAATAATAATGATAATAATAATACTAATAATAATGACAATAATAATAGATACACATATTTCGTGTACAAGCAGATTCATTATGTTTCAATTCTGTGTAGCTGTGTCTTTATATACTGAGACTGACTGTTCATCACTTGCTGCCTTTTTAATGGACAGGCTGGAGGGATTCAACCTGGCCACAGTCATTAGCTCGTTCTCAGTCAATAATTACAATAAAATCAAGCTTATTTTTTTAGTGCTGATTGTGGTGACTAAAAGGCCATTCTCTGATTGTCGCAGTGTTCTGTCCAGTTCCGATCAAGGGACTGTTCAAAACTAAAAATAATTTATGTATTGAAAAAAAAACAAAAAAAATCCAAGGACGTGACTCCTCTGTGGAGGTTCAGGTAAAACCTCAGTGACGGTGGCAGCAGCAGCAGCAGCAGGGGTGAAACGGAAAAGGGGGACGGCTCCTCTCCTACCAAGCTATGCAACCCTGAGTGCATAATCCATCACCTCTGAGAGACATTTAAAGAGGGTTTTCTCGACAGCTTTGTTGTAGTGAAACACCAGAAGGAACTTGTATCTAAAGCCTGGCTCCGCTATGATTGATACAGGGACAGAGTATGCTAACATTATATCCTGCACAACCTTCTCATTTTGGAAGATGCTCTTGGCTGCACTATTTAAAATTTTGTGAGAGCTTCATTATTCTAGTTATTTATCCACTTTGCATACACTAGTGTATTGTTGAAATTGAGCAATCATGTTTAATGAGATTTTTTTTTCCCCCCACAGTGTAACTCAGTTAAGGCCACACTTGATGCAGCTTTTAGCCCAAATAATTTCCCCCCCAAAAAATATTTATTATGTTGGTTTTAAATGAAGTTGTAAAATTCATATTTTATTTAAATGCTTTGCACCTTCATGGCTTTATTTCCAAGTTGCATCAAGTTGGTGTCTTGTGTTCTCTACATTATAACTGCACACAGAGCTCTCCCCCTGCTCTTTGTCCATCCAGCAGAGCAGCAAAGCGGGATGTTTACCATCAAACATGTCCAGTGTTTGTCTGTTGCCTCACTGAGCCACAGACAGGGACACTCCATACTGTACTGCGATGCCTGATTAATGCAAATGCGTTGAATCGTCCTATAGAAAAAAAAAATCTCTAATGATTGCCTCCTTTGTCTTTGTGTGGCAATGACTGTCAAGCCTTTGTTTGACCACTCCCAGTGAATCCTATTAAGCCAAAGCTACACTTCCAGTCCGACAGTTACTATAAGCATACGCTGTTATTTAAAGGAGTGTTCGCCGATTTATAACGGGCTGTTAAATTAGTTGCAAACAAAGTTATCCAAAAATAATCGCAATGATTTATTTTACAGGCGGAAAGCAGCCTTGCAGCAGAAGGGCGATAGGTGGATACAGTAATAGCGTGGATACGGGAATAACTATTATCATTTATAATTATGTTAAATTGTAAAAAATACCCAGGAACGGAATTTATTTATTTATTTATTTATTTTGGCAATTTACACCCGGAAAGCTTCAGCAAAAATGAGGAGTTGTGGTCGATAGCCCGCTGCTATTATCCAGTATATGATTCCAGTTCATAGACAGAGCCTACTGTAGGACGAGCTCCTCGCGGTGGATGTGCAGCAGCAAGCGGCGGCTCCGTCTAATAAACGCGTCCTGTCAAAAGATTTACAATATTACAAGACATCAGCATTCAGTTTGTAATGAGACGTTCCTTTACCACACATGTAATCTCTGTCTGTCTGTCAGTCAGTCTGTCTGTCTGTGTGTCTGTACCCCCTCCACCACCACCTCCCCCCTCCCTCCGTATAAACACATCTCCCTCTTCCTCTCTCTCACGCTCTCACACTGATTACACAGTTGTTGGCGTCTATTCATATTCCGTTATACGATTTGTTTTAATCCCTAGGTAAAGAAGCGCAGGCTGCTCATAGAAATGCTGTCTGAAGAAATATCGCAGAAGCTTCTTCGGGCGCCCCAAGTTGCCAGTGGATTACTTTGCAACTCCAGAGCTCGGTCATTGGAGGACGGCCACACGTGACTACGGCACCCTTCTGGTAAATATTATTCAAATTTTCCACATGGTTACTCCAAGTGCTCTTCCCTGCATGCCTTTATACAGTCAGGCTAATTGTGATCGGATATTAGACAGACAGAAGTCCTAGTCTTTATTACTGCTGTGGGATTCCTGGTTTTATTTGAGACAGTTTAATGAGCCGGGTCCATGGACCCCCAACAGTCTGCCCTCCCACTGCAGCTGCATGGCAACAGTTTTGCTATGAGCTCTGGACAAGTGCCAAAACTAAGCGCGGGATACAATGGAGGAGGAGGTGGTGGAGCAGGAGGAGGAGGAGGAGGAGGAGGCCAAGAAGCAGAACTTAATCAGCAAAACATGACCTCCTCTGCTCATGTCAGTTCCAGGCTGAACCCAGATGAACAGTTCCAGAGCCCACTGGAGCCTCTGGTTCACTGCCATGCCAAGGGCGAGCTGGACATCAAGAGCAGGAGCTGCAGTCTACTCACCATCTGCCGCTCTGGAGTAATGTTTCCCTGGATGAATCCACGGACAACTGACTCTGAACAATCTGGTAACTGTGCTTTTATTTATTACACACTGAGTGTCTTTTACTTTATAAACTGAGTGTGCAAAATCTTGTTGACTGATGAGGATACTCCATAAAACCATATTCCTCATTTTGTCAAACACTGATGTGTGACCTTAATGACATATGGCATTTAAATAACTTTGTTGCACATGATATAAAAATGTTTCACAACATTCACAAGCAGGTTAAAAAAATCCAACTAGTCAATTATATGTTTATTGTGTCACCTGCATCATTTTAATGCTCATTGAAGCACATTCATCAGATGTGAAGGCTGTCTCCTCTCTTAGGTTAACACAGAGCCTGGATGGCTGTGAATGTTGCAGCACAGTTAAAAACAAATGTCTGTTTCGTGCCCATAGCTGTTTGTTCCTTCCTCTCCTGCAGGGATAGTCATGTTCAAAACACAAACACTTCACCAAGAGCTTCTTTTACACTGCACTTTTGCAGCTGAGGATTTTCTTTTGAAAGAATATATCATAATCTGCAAATATCATCACTTCATGTTCTGTTGTTTCTGAACACAGTCATTAAATAAATTCAATCAGTCCGTCAATTATAATATCTGTTCTAATAAGTAAGTCAGTGAAGTAAAGTAATTTATTTTGACTTTGCAAAAAAGGAAACAAGACAGTTACAGAAATGTGAAATAATTATGAAATATATAAAACAAAAAAACATTTTTTTCATTGTTCACTGATGCTGCTTCTTATTTTTCACTGTAAAATATAAACATCTTTGCCTAGACACTGCAAACAGGAAGCTACAGTCTCCCGGTGTGGTGGGGTATTGTTAAGGAGTGCACTTTACACTCTAAGGTCACTATAGGCCTTATTAAGTATCCATTAACCCCTGTGTGTTATATTGTTATCAACAGGGCCCTGCTACCACTGATATACATGATATACATGTCAAATGGAATCTCTAATGGTGGTTATTTTCAGTGGTGGTCCCAAGGTACCTTTTAAGTGACTGAGATGGGGCTTTGACAGGTCTGCTTCCGTGTGTGGCTGTGATTAATGTGGCCTGTCAGGCAGCCGTAGTGGCGTCAGATGTTTCCCCCAGACTGTTTCTTCGGGAGGTAACTTTCCCTGAACACATGACACAGTAGACAGCCAGTCCTGTATGGTGTCTCAAGCATGACTGAGTACACAGGAAGAGCTGAGGGCCCTTCACGGTCTCATGTTGATTGGCTGAGGATTACCATGGGCCTTACTGCCACTTCAAGTCCTCCATGTGGAGCTCAAGCATTTCAGGATAGGCTTGTTAAATATGTGGCACTTGTTTTTTATCACCCTCTCTTCTTTATGTGCTTCCTCCCGCATTAGTCAGCGGCGGCGTTGCGGCCGGTCGACCCGCCAGAGGGAGGCCCGGTGTGAGGAGGGAGAGGACGGCCTTCACCAACAGCCAGCTGCTGGAGCTGGAGAAGGAGTTCCACTTCAGCCCGTACCTGCGTCGCCCTCGGAGGCTGGAGATGGCCGCCGGGCTTCAGCTCACCGATCGCCAGGTCAAGATCTGGTTTCAGAACCGCAGGATGAGGTACAAGAAGGAGCACAAGTATGGAAAAGTGGTAGGCCAGCATTCTCCCTCCAACCCGTCCTCCAGCTCGAGCTCATGCGCAGACAACCTGAGTTTCCCAGGTGCGTGTGTGGTTAGAACTTCCTCCTCCTCCTCTTCCTCAGACCTGCACTTCATGGATTATGCTCCTGTGTCCTCCTCTCTCCTTGGCCCTCACAGCGATGGCAGCGGTGGTCAGTGTATTCACCCCGCAGACCTGCCACATGTGAGTTGCATACTTCCATCTGTTGCAAATGGTGCATGGCCCGCCTGTACGGACGTGGATAGTCATCACCATGCTGGCATTTCAAATTGGCCCTAGGGCCCTATAATGGCCATCCCTCCTGTGCTCATCAAAATCTCAATGATACATCCACTTTCACTTACTTGAAAGACTGGAGGATGTCTGATTAGCAACCCAGGGCTGAAATCCCCTTAACACGCCCTTTCACCATTCATGAAGCATTTTAATTAAACTATATGAACATGTCTTAATTAAAGGAGAGCCAAAGTGAAATCATTTGTGTTTCTCAGGCTCAGTGACAGAAGACTGCAGGTCTTCAAACTTGCTGCTCATGTTGTACGTACATGGCGTGCACAAGACATTGGAGCAATTAATGATTACATGTTTTTTGCTGTAATTTTGTGACTGTTACATTTGTATTGTTGTTGCATGTTTAATGCATGTGGGAATCATACTCTGAGTGAGTTTTTCTACTTCCCTCTGTTGGCAGATAATAGTTAAGTGGTTGTCATATTTTGTAAGTGTCACATTAGGGCCTCTTTTTCATCCCGTACTGTAAATAGCAGGTCGTTTTGTGTAAAATGTTTTAACTGTGAAATGGACAGAGTAATGTTCATATTGAATGATGTTATATTTTTGTTAAAGCCATTAAAGGATACGGCGAGTCTTTGATACTGTTCTTGATGAATTGAGATGTCACACAGTATACTGTACATGCTTAATAAATGCATTTGGGAAAACTGTAGCTCTTGTGCAGTGTTTACCCTGTTCATCGCTGATTAGATTGACTTTTTTTTTTTTTTTTTTTTTCCTGGATTAGATCCCAAATGGAAAAAATGGGAAAGATTCTGTAATCAAATTAAAGCATGCCTCAGATTCATTGAAAACTCTACAGTATTGTGCATTCAATGCACAGTCTTGCCACATAAGCCTCTCCCTCGCTCCTGCCTCCGAGTTCCCCACCATTAATCACAGAGACAAGGCAGTCTTTCCAGCACTCCAACCACAAGCTCTGAACCCACTGGGCACCATGACAAGATCTCTTGCCTCCTCCTTCCCAACCCTTGCCTTTTCAATAGCCAAATTGTAGTGCTGCAAGTTGAGGCTGGCCTCCCTCTTAGGGGGCATGTTGGTTGTGTAGCTTAGAAGCCCTTCCAGCAGCCCATAGGCCACAACAGACCAATGAGGTTCAATCACTAATGACAACATATTATCTTAAAGAACAATGAGGAGACCTTTTTTCTTTTCTTTTTTTTTTTTCTTTTTGTGTGACGTATGGCTTCTCAAATGTAAACTGTGTCATGGAAATGTTATTCTCCTATTTTCCTTTGCTATTTTCTGATTTCAAAATTTCCCCTCACTGAGCTAAATTACACACATGGGGCATAATGCATTTATTTGACAGAAGTGGGTCACAGGTTCTCTTGGGTTTCAACAGTTTTACACGTCAAAGATAAACAGCAACTTTCATGATGAAGGAGCAAACCTCTAACACTTGGTAATCTGAGCCGTAGTATCATTATTCTAAACAAAGTTTTGGACATGCTGACAGTTTTATATCAGTTTTATATCGTCACAGAGAACCACTGACAGCTTTGAAATGAGGGAGGTACCAAGGAAGCTGATCCCCTAGTGGTCCTGGATGGAATGACTTCCTGCTCCCTATTCATTACCTAATCAGTCTCTGGATCAGCTGTCATTTGGTAAATATTTGACACCATTTGCAGCAGGTTTCAGTAAGTGTCAGGGGAGCTATATAGCTGCTATAACTCTGTGGAAATGTTAAATAAAATAAAGTAAGGTCTACACCACATCTGTATCAAAGACGTGGTGACAGCTGGGTAATTTAAGAGGAAAGTAATAAAGGGCAAGAGAGGGAATGAGACAAAGCAAGAAGAAGTTCTCTGCTACAAATATGTTTCCTCACAAAGAGACAGAACAGGGAGGATTGTGAGGAAGAAGAAGCAGACAGTGTTGGATTCCTGAGATTCTTGCATATGCCGGGTGATTTATGGAGTTGAGGTGCCGAGGCTCAATAGGACCTTTACCTCTGGTTCCTAACCACATTCTCCTTCCAGAGTCTAAAAGCAAGGAGGATCCGCACACTGGAGTGCAGTAATTCTGTGGACGGGGTCAAGGGGGATCCTCAGGGGTCAAGGAAAGCCTCCCCCCCCTCAAGGGCCCCACTGCAAGGGGGGACAGTCTACTTCCATTTCAACATTGAGTTAGCCAGTTGTTCTCACACTGGTTTGCTCCTAGTTAGCGACTAAAGTCATTACTTCCTTTGTGCTCACTTGATGACATCTGTTCTTCGAGGGGAAGATCTGCAAAGCCCCAAATCCTTACAAGTTTTTTTTTTTATTCTTGGCTTTGATCAGAACTGAGCGATGCATTAAGTGGATCTTTGAAGTGATAAATGATGCCAGCCGTGGTGCCATGAAACCAGCTTTGGTTACGGTCCGTCATTAATTTCCAAATTTTTGCATTATGTCCTTTACAGTGACTGATGTTCCACTGTCCCATTTGCAGCTGTTGTGAAACCGATTTTGGGGTTAGACTTGAAAATGCTCTGTGCATCAGGACTTTTCTTAAGCTGCCGTGAAAAGAAAACTGCTGTGTGCTCAACAAAGACGTCCTGCTTTAAGGGTCTTCCAAAGCATTTGCCCCTGCATTCAACAAATGTAAAGCCTGAAGCATGTCATATTACCATTACAGTAAGCTGCTGGTGTCTACTGGAGTCTTATGTTATGTACTGGTAATTCCATTCATTATATGGGGATCACTACCAGATGAAATAACTGATGATAATATGAACAACTGTCCATGTGACAGCCCCTGCTCGTTTTGGAGTATATGCCTCCTTGTTTCCATGATTGGTTGGATACACAATCACATCAGATTCCCCACAAATCCTCTAAGACCCATCACAGATTAGACATTGTTGTGGGGGGGGTTTATGACTTTGGTCTTCATTCACTGTTTTTGCTTTTACATCTTAAACCCCAATCCATACATGCACTCATTCATACCACTAATTAATGCCAATGCCTGATGCGCTCCACCACTTATAGAAACACACTCTGAGAGCACAAAATCTTTTTTCTTTTTTTTTTTTTACAATATATTTATTCATTTAAGCTCATCTTATCATTTTGTCTTAATTAAGAAATGAACCCCAGGTATGCATGGGAGGCAACAATTATACAACAGACATATTTCATTAAGTGAAAACAGAAGTTTATCATCATGTTATCAAATCCTCCTGTGAAACTGTAACGCAGCATCTTATGGAGCCATTTCTGTCAATAAATTCACTTTTGAACTCAGATCACAAAAAAAAAGTAAAATGAAAATAAAAACAGGACAAATTGTTTGTGTGGTTCTCAACATACTTGCAAAATGACATATAATGTAAAAAAAAAAGAAACATTTGACAGAACATATTGATGCATATACATAGACAAAGTACAAAATGTTCACTGACCAAAGTCAAAACAAATCACACAACTCTTCTCCAGGGTTAAAAGGGGTTAAAAGCTTGAATCTCCATTTTTCAATACACAGCAGCAAATTAGCAAATTCTACAAAATTTATGAGTTAAAACGAATGGTTGTATTTACTAAAGGGGGGGGGGTGTATTGTACATTTTGTATTTAAGGTCAATTATATTTATCTTGTAACTGTAATCTTGCAACATGGTAATTTAAGTAACATGACATCTGCTGTCAATGGACTGTATAAAAAGAAACCAGAAAAAACCCTAAAGAAACAAATTTAGCTGAAAATGAACCATGTTGCAGTGATTTTGATGGACTGAAGCTCTGCACCTCACTGTGTGTGTGTGTGTGTCTCTGAGAGTTATGCAAGAAACTGAAACATGACACTGATCGTGGCCTCCTCCACAACGGCAGAGACTGTTGTGCTACACGCTGCAGCACAGACTGAAACAAAAGATGTTCATCGCTGTTCCCAAACAAAACAACTGGGATGAACATAATCATAACATGTTCAAGATTATGAGCAACTTGTGGCTAATTTTCATTGTTCTTTTTAAATTATTATGTTTGAGAACTGACTGATTTGCGTGGTGAAAGTCATAGAAGTAAAATCTCCCCAGAAGTAACAGTTACATCCGATACTTTGGTCCATTGTTGAGTAAAACCCTGAACTTTTATGCCCGGCCTTTAGGAGGTTTTGTTCTTTTTATGAACTATTAACCTTCCCAGCCTTCTCCCTCCACAGTAGTAACTGCTGCCCACCAGTCTCTCCAGGTGCTTGTTGCTCAAGATGATTGTTAAGTATCAATTTCCTGTGTCACCTTTATGGGTTTTATTTATTTGTCTGCTCCTTCACGTGGAACAGAGCCTGAGCATCACTCAGGTAGATGGATTATAACTCAACTGCTACGACTCATCAATCTTGGAAATTTGACTTCCTGAATCTCATACAACTGTTACTGCCATATTACGGCATGGCATTATCAAGATCAATGACATTTTAAATGCTTCCCAGTTAAGGATGATCGGTGACAATAAAAAGGTAAGTTGGTGATGAAAGTGTCTCAGCTGTGGTGAGTGGCGCTGTGCGCAGCGAGGGAGTCACCTGCTGCAGCTGCACGTTTCCCTCTGAAGAGCACCGGTTAAATGAATGAACTTGTAATCACAACAGTCACCCTGCTAAATGTCACACGTTGACCATTATCGATCACTCAAGAATTATTCAACACCCAATGGCTTTATCACACAGAACCTAATCAATGCACACTTTCTTTTGGTTGTTCTGCCATAAAACAGAAAAAAAAAAAAAAAAAGCTATGTTAAAAAAAATGTTACATGACAACAAAGAACAAAGAGATAATGATCAGATGATTCTGTTAGGGGTCCCGGAGACCTTGGACCCTCTTTGACAGCTCAAGAAATATTCGTAACATTTATTTTATCTACTTGTTGTTTCAGTACTTTACTGCTTATAAACATGATTTAAACTCATGACATGTTTCAGATCTGTTTGAGTTCTCAGAGACCACAGCTGTAAAACGTCATTAAATACATTAGACTTTCACATGCTCTATGAATTGCTGTTGACAGTACTTATTATGCTGCAACAACCCAAATGAGTCAATTTGATTTTCTGTGCTTGCAGTTTTACAAACACACGAGACATCAGAGAGTTAGACCCAGAACATAAGATTTGTTGCTACGGAGGATGACACTTAGTTGCCAGTTTATTAGGTACACCACTGTTAAAACAGTCGAAGATGACAGTCCTGCATTAAGTCATGAAGGTTATAATGAATATTTGTTGTGTGTTTTATAGATATGTGCATGAGAGGATGGACTAAGTATCAAAAACACCTTCACATTACAGTTCAACAGCTTCACAAACTGCAGCCTCCAAAAACACCATGAAGAAGAATAAACACCGCTTTAATATAATATAATAATAATACATTTTCAATAACTTATATAATACTTATATAATATATAGCTTCATGACCGTCGGATTTATTGCTCAACTGTTTTATTGACTGCATTAGTTTTATATAGGTGCACCTAATAAACTGGCAACTGAGTGTGTATTGGTTCATGCATAGACTTTATAGCATAT